TTCCGATCTGGGGTCAGGCCTTGGGGAAGGGGGGGGACGTCAGGTCAGGGGATGTGGGTTTGAACTAGATCATCTACTGCACTTGCATTGAAAGACGTGAGCTTGTGCTTACAAAGGTTGGAGACCACTGGAATAGACAGATGGACAGACAGATGGGAGGAGGTTGACTTGTGAAACTGACGCACGTGTGACAGAAGCGTCTGTCGGGAAAGGCCTGAAACGTGGCTGCAGATCCGCCTGTTCCTTAATCCACCCCGGGCTGCGACTACAGCCAAAGGTGCCCTCTGGGACGTGCGGTAGCACATCGTGTTCCCAACAGGCAGGCTAAAGGCTGTGTTTGCAAAGCAATATCCCCACTGCAAAGCAAGCCTGCCTGAGAGCCTTTGGGCCCCACATTCCATTATCACCGGCATCGGGAAATACCCTCGCTTCACGTCCTCTTCGTCATGTGTCTCCCCCCGACCCGACGCACAGACCGGTTAGAAACTACAGGTGAAAAGTGCCTCTCCCCAGCCCTGCTCTGTCTTCCTGAGCAACAGAGAAACAAGGCCGAGAATGATTATTTGTTGCCAGGCTTGTCAAGTCAATGTGATGTCAATTTAGAGGAAGTTCTGCTAAAAATAGCCGCCATGACAAATTATACCGGTTCCAGAGAGCGGATGAATATTTATCAATGTTTCGGCGTCCCTGATTTTCACTGAGCACACTGCATCGTTTTGCCAGCTCAGATTAACATGTAAATATGCATATAATCAGGCAATCATATGCAAATATGCCGCTCGTCACCGGTTAACAACAAGGGTTTTTTCTTACCGCTCTGCTTTTCTGTAAGGGCTGATATATTGAACTCCCCTTACACTGCTCCAGTAAATTACTCCCATTGAAAGGCACCCTGAGGTCATGTGTTCACTACAGAGAAGAGCGACCCTCCAGGGGTCGATCTTCGGGCATCCGATTTAGCAAGTCTAGTGTAGACCCCCAAATTGAATGCTGAGGGCAGCCCACGCCGGAGTCCTGTACTCCTCATTCTGGGAGGAGTAAGGGAAGCTGATGGGATTGTGTGCTGCTCTGCCCCCGCCCCCCGCCCAGGGCCTGTCTGTGACTCCGGCAGAGCTGTGGCTACCGTCTCCCGCAACGTTCCTGCCTGGCTCCCTCCAGGTGCTGCGCTCCTGGCCTGGCCGGTCCGGGCGGCCACTGCCCCGCAGGGCGCCCGAGTTCGACCTGTGCCCCTCACCCAGTACGACATGGTCTTCATTAACGGCCTGGCTGAGGGGATGAGTTGCACCCTCAGCACGTTTGCAGCTGACACTGAGCTGGGGGAGGGTAGAGACGCTGGGGGGCAGGGAAGGGCCCAGAGTGACCTGCACAGATTAGAGGATTGGGCCAAAAGAAATCGGATGAGGTTGAACAAGGACAAGTGCAGAGTCCTGCCGTGGGGCGGAGGAATCCCAGGCACTGGGACAGGCTGGGGACCGACCGGCTGGAACAGGCGCTGGGGGTTACAGTGAATGAGAAGCTGGAGATGAGTCACCAGGCGCCCTTGCAGCCAAGCAGGCTAACGGCACATTAGGTGCATTAGGAGGAGCGTTGCGGGCGGATCCAGTGAGTGAGTATTCCCCTTTATTCGGCTCTGGGGAGGCCACGTCGTCCAGTTCTGGGCCCCCAACTACAGGAAGGATGGGGACGCATTGGAGGGGGTCCAGGGGAGCTTGACCAAAATGATTCGGGGGATGGAGCACATGACCTATGAGGAGAAACTGGGGGAGTTGGGTTTGTTGAGTCTGCAGAAGCGAACAGTGAGGGGGGATTTGAGAGCAGCCTGCAACTCCCTGTAGGTGGTTCCAGAGAGGCTGGAGAGAGGCTGGTCTCAGTGGGGGCAGGGGGCAGAACGAGGAGCGATGGGCTCACGCTGCAGTGGGGCAGGTCTAGGTTGGAGATTAGGAAAAAACGATTTCCGGAGGCGGGTGGGGAAGCGCGGGGCTGGGTTCCCGAGGGAGGGGGTGGAATCTCCATCCCTACAGGTGTTTTGGTCTCGTGGAGTCGGGGCTGGGCCTGCTATGGGTGGGAGACTGGACCTGACAGCTCCTGAGGTCTCCTCCCGCCCTGGTGTTGCATGAGGGGGTGCCGGCTCTCACCCAGCCCCAGGGTGGGGTCTGGCTGGCTCAGGGTGGGGGGCAGGGAATGGGGCAGGAGCCTGTCCCCTGGGGAAATGCCGGCTCCCACCCGGCCCCGGGAGAATCCCAGCTCAGAAGCCCGTTCTGACCATTTGGCTCAGGCAGCAAAAGCGAAAGCAGAAGAAAGTGGCTGAAAACTTCCCTCCATGGGACTCCAGTTTCACAAGCCCCTGAGTTCTCTTGGATTTTCCCTGGGTTGTGGGAGGGGGACCTTCAGAGACAGGCTCCCTCTCAACCCTGACCCCCCCCCCCCAAGCCCCCCCTCCCTCTTTCCGGATCCCACCGCTGCCCCCCAGCTTCTGAATACATCTCCACCACCTCTGCCTGTAGCTGGATCACTTGTGGGAGTGGGGGGAAGGGTCTACACCCAACCTCTCCTCCCACCCTATGGTCCCCCACTAATCCCACCCCCTCAGCTGTGACATTTGGGGGTGTCTCTCACAAGCAGGTCCTCTGACCCCCCACCCCCACTTTGAGACCCAGAATGCCCCACATCCCCTTAGCCTGGCTGCTCCACAGCCCTGTTGATGTGGGGTGCTCTCCCTATCTCTGAATGCACTCCCCCCAAAAATGGTTGCCAGTGTCCCATACAAATTGACACTAAGATCTCAGCTTCCTAAAAATCTCCCAAGGGAGGGCGAGGCAGTGAGCCCCCACCCAAAGGTCTGTCGATCTTGCCCAGGGAGGGCCCCCCCATTACAGAGCCCCCCCCACATGCTCCTTCCCCCCCAGATTACCACTTGGCTCTGTGACCTCCATGTGGCCTTAAGGCTGATTTTAAAGGGGGGGTGTTAGATCCAACCAGTCTCCTTGGAGGGGCGGGGGTCTCCCCTAGATGGAGCAGCCCTAGATTTATCACAGATACACATACCCAGAGCCATGCACAACTACACACACACACACAACTGGAGTCCCATGCACAATTGCACACATGTAACTAGGCACGCACAGAGAGCCATGCACATCTACACAAACAGACCAATACACAACTGGGTACACACAGGAGATGCATGCATAATTACACACACACACACACACAACCAGACACACAGAGATGCATTACATCTTTACACACACCTAACTGCATGCACAACTACACACAGACACACACGAGATTCATTAATGATTACACACATGCAACTTCACACACAATTGCATGCACAAATACACACACAGACCCATGCACGAGACACAGAATCCTGCACATTACTACACACACACACAGTGTCACACACACTACACACCAAGAGAGATGGATGCAGAAATAGACACACAGAGACCCACACACAAATATACATGCACAACTAGACACACACAGTGGCCACAAACAACTAGACATATGCACAAGAGCCTCACACAATTACACAAACACACACACAGACCCACACACAACTATAGCTAAACATACACAACTGGACTCTCACACAGAGATCCACTCACAGCTGGACTCCCATAAACATTGAGTGACCCACACACACAACAAGAGAGACACTCGCAACCACACACAGACCCCCCACATGACAAGAGAGACACTCACAACCACACACAGACCCCCACATGACAAGAGAGACTCTCGCAACCACACACAGACTCCCACACGACAAGAGAGACACTCACAACCACACGCAGACCCCCCCAACACAGACACACACACACAGACCCTCCACACAACAAGAGAGACACTCACAACCACACACAGACCCCCACACGACAAGAGAGACTCTCACAACCACACACAGACCCCCACACGACAAGAGAGACTCTCACAACCACACACAGACCCCCACACGACAAGAGAGACTCTCACAACCACACACAGACCCCCACACGACAAGAGAGACTCTCACAACCACACACAGACCCCCACACGACAAGAGAGACTCTCACAACCACACACAGACCCCCACACGACAAGAGAGACTCTCACAACCACACACAGACCCCCACACGACAAGAGAGACTCTCACAACCACACACAGACCCCCACACGACAAGAGAGACTCTCACAACCACACACAGACCCCCACACGACAAGAGAGACTCTCACAACCACACACAGACCCCCACACGACAAGAGAGACTCTCACAACCACACACAGACCCCCACACGACAAGAGAGACTCTCACAACCACACACAGACCCCCACACGACAAGAGAGACTCTCACAACCACACACAGACCCCCACACGACAAGAGAGACTCTCACAACCACACACAGACCCCCACACGACAAGAGAGACTCTCACAACCACACACAGACCCCCACACGACAAGAGAGACTCTCACAACCACACACAGACCCCCACACGACAAGAGAGACTCTCACAACCACACACAGACCCCCACACGACAAGAGAGACTCTCACAACCACACACAGACCCCCACACGACAAGAGAGACTCTCACAACCACACACAGACCCCCACACGACAAGAGAGACTCTCACAACCACACACAGACCCCCACACGACAAGAGAGACTCTCACAACCACACACAGACCCCCACACGACAAGAGAGACTCTCGCAACCACACACAGACTCCCACACGACAAGAGAGACACTCACAACCACACGCAGACCCCCCCTCCACAGACACTCCACCCCAGCCCCCCCAGAGAGAAAGCCCGGGAGTGCCCCACGGCGGCAAGGTCGGAGGTGGGGACCCCGGTGTTCCCAGGGGCTCCCCCCACCTCTCCAGGGCTGGATTCACACCTCCTCCCCCCAAAAACCCACAATTCCAGTCTCGGGTCTGCTTCTGCTTTTGCCGCCTTCTATTTCTGGCTGTTTCCTCTTCCCGCCTTTCGCCATCACAGAGTCTTTAGTCTTTCCTTCCTTCTCTGTAGGCGGCGGCTGCGGTGCTTGAAAATTTCCTCTCGTGTCATGGGGAGGCGGGTTTCACCACTCAGGCGGCAGGTATATAAAGCTGAGGCCGGGCCCTGGGCCCCAGCCACAAGGGCCAGGAGCCGGCGGAAGAGCCACCCAAGGGAACAGAGGCACCGCCAAAAGCCACCCCAGAGCAACTGCACTTGAGATCAGAAGACAAAGCTTACCGCTCCAGGGAAACTGAGTCACATCGCCTTCTGAAACCGGCTCCGCTCACCCCTCAGACGACCCGCCCGCTCACATCACCCCTTTGGTCTCAAGGGCTCGATTCCCCTGCCGGGATCTGCGCCGTTTCTGCCCTTCGCCCAGCGGAAACCGTAACTCTGGCCAGCCCTGCCCCGAGGAACCCGACCCCGGCGAAACCCGCCGCCATGAGCACCGAAAGTCTGGTCTACGATGTGGAGAAAGGCGGCGTTGTCGTGGTGCGGGAGTCGCAGGCTGGCAACGGCTGCTGGAAATGTCTGAGCATCTGTTCTTTCCTGCTCCTGACTGGGGCCACGGCCGTCTTCGCCCTACTGCAGTTCAGGAACGAGGGGCAGTGGGTCATCCAGGTAAGACCAGAGGCAGGGGTGAGGGGCTTAAACTCCCAGCTCGCGCAGCCTTACCCCATCTGTGGCCGTCCAGATTTGGATGCTTGTCCACAGGGGTAGCGTGGGTGGCCAGGTGCACCGCCACCCTGCGGGGAGACCTCTGGGTGTCTCCGTGGGCAGGCGTGCAAATCAGGCACACACCAACGGTGGCTGTCACGGGGGGCATGTGTTGCCCCCTGCGTGTGGACCAGGAGGCATGCGTGTGTGTGCACAGGGCTCCTGGGTCGGGCACCTCTCCGGGTTTCTCCGGGTGTCGTCGGTCGGAGCGGGTCTGGGTGTTGCCCAGAGGTGACGGCAAGGTTTTCGTCTGGGTGGGTGTGTTGCACTGGCTGTATGTCTCATGTCTCCTGCGCTTGCCTGGCTCCCCCGGGCTGTGTTTTGGCTGGCTGGCTCCTCCCCCCG